TCTCTTCCAGTTGGATATTTTTAAGAATATAAGTAACATCAGCAGGCACATGCCCTCACTTGCAGATGAAATGAGCTCTAGCATACTATGACTAGTCCTGTCAATTCCAATGGCACCCGTGTTACTTGTTACAAGTAGATACATCAGCCACTGGAGTGTTATAAATAGTAATTCTATAGACAGATATAGGCAGGAGCTTGAGCGGGTTGTCAGAGAAAGGAGTATATTTACTTCTTTTGTTTTGCAACATTGTTTCCATGTGCCAAAGGCAATCATCAGCACCTGTCTATGGGATTATTATTTAAAGAACTCTTTTGGCTGATGTATCTATTTGCAGCACAGTGATGCTGGTGTAATTGGAAATGACAAGACTATACATAACGTGTTTCCCCGAAAATAAGACACTGTCTTATACTTTTTTTTGCCTCAAAAAAAACACACTAGGTCTTATTTTCAGGGGATGTCTTTTTTTTTGTTTGTTGTACATTTTGTTGCACATTAATCTAAAGTTATTCATGTACAACAATCCAAAGTTATCTGGTATCACTCCGCCTGTCACAGTAATTGGCGCTATAGAGGAAGTATCGGCTAATGCGGCTTTGCTCCCTCCGCCGCCGCCGCAGCATGCTTTCTACAGCGCCGGCTTTTTTTGCCATCAGGGACAGTGGTACCAGCGGTGCAACAGTAGGGACATCAGACAGTGGACAGGGCGGTAAAGTACAGTACCATTTCCTGGTACACCTGTCATCTAAGTCGGGATCCGCTCCAGGTGCGGCGTCTCAGTATACCGCGAGCTGTAGCTCGCGGTATACTGAGCTTAGGGTAACAGGAGAACGCTAGTTTGTGTCCTCCCGTTACCCTAAGGAGAACTATGGGGAAAAACACTGACCCCATAGTTCTCCTTTAATCTGCAAGTGAGAGCATGCACTTGCTGATTTAGCGTAGTTCAGACCTGAGCGATACCCGGGACGCGCGTCCTGGGATCACGCAATCCTGTGCTGGTGCACACAGCGATTGCCGCGCGGCCCCATTGATTTCAATGAGGTAACATCCGCATGGCAATCACTAAAAAAGGTACCTTCTTTTGCGACACACGACGCTCAGCTTTTTTAACCGCGATCCTGTTCAATTGCAGGGGTGGAATAGCAGCGAGAAACCGTGCGATCCACCCGGCTAGACTGGGGTGCTGTTAGAAAATAATGGCAGCGCCAGCACGATCAGTGGTGGTGGGCGACTTCGTGACCGCCCGGCAATCCGCGCGGTTTGGTGCACAATTGCCGCAGGTCACGGATCGTCCAGGTGTGATCCTAGCCTTAGGCAAGGTTAATACTTGCGCAATCCTTGTCCGCGCGGCAATCGTGCACGAAACTACGCGGACTGACGTGCGGTCGCGGAGTTGCACACCACCGCCGATTGAACTGGTTTTCTTTTCACCCAGGTCTGCACCAGGCCTAATTCTTAAAGGTTATCTATGGTCAAAAACTTAAAATAGATCTGTATTTCTATATTACATTTCCATAAACTCCTAATAACCAGATCCATCTAGAAGTTTGTAAACTTACTTATTGAAGATGCCCATAGGATGGACTTCCTCAATGCACTGACATCACAACTCTCACAGAGCCTGCCTTCTGAACATTATCATTACTTGCAGGAAGCAATGCAAGATGGGAGATGCAGTCTTGAGAAATGGAGATTGCATCACATCATGCAGCAGTGAAAGAGACGCACAGCACGCTGGTAATCCAGGAAGTTGTTGGAAGTGATGGGGAGACGGAAGGCGGCGCTCACTACATAAAAGGGATTTTTTTTTTCAAGTAAGCTCTGATTGCATTATCAAAAACAACTCTTGTGTGTATTCCTATTAGGCTCCATTCACACCTGAGTGGCTCTCCACGCGTATTCGGGTGTACGGACTCGCATGAAGCCGCTCTAAACACAAAAAACAATGCACTTCAATGTGCATAGTTCACACCATTGCGGGGACCCCGAATTAGTGCAAGCGCGATAATACAAAGGATTCTGCACATTTGCGGCTATTTAACCTCCTTGGCGGTATTCCCGAGTGTGGCTCGGGGTTAATTTTCTGTACCATAAGCGGTAACCCCGAGCCACACTCGGGAATACACAGCGCGTCTCTTACCTTGTCCCTTGAGCAGCGCTGTGTCCTCCAGCGGATGCTGGCATCCGTCTTCTGTCCCTTGCGAGCGTCCGTGTCGCAGGGGGGCGGAACCGCCGGGAGATTCAAAAGAAAAAAAATACGAAAATAAATAGAACGAAAAAAGGAAAAATAAAAAAAAATCATACCGCCAGGGAGGTTAATAGCCGCAAACGAGCAGCATCCGGGCGGATTAAAAAACATCAGCGTTTTCGTCCCGGACAGTCTTCCGCGCACGAAACCGTGCTGGAACCGCAAACGCTATGTGTGAATGCAGCCTTACAATGCTGATGTTATAACAGTAGAGGATATGCTGGGACTTTACAACTCCTTCAGGAATATTCAACTAGAAGAGAAATTACACTAAGAACCTTCGATTTTGGCCCATTCTCACAGCAGCTGGTGAACTCGCACAGTTTCACTGAACGAATAAAATGTGTACTCAGGCACAGGTAATAATTTGAGAAATTCGTTTTTGTGTTTGATCACTGTACCTTGTTGCTGCTTGTCACAGATGAAGAAGAGGTCTAACCGAAAAAGTAAAAGCTGACCTTCACTGATACTAGAAGAGATTTGCCTTCTCTTTGCCAAGTAAGCTGAGCTGTCAGCATGATATAGAGCAGGAGGTGGGTACAGTCACAACATTTGTTCAGGGTGTCAGACGCCGGGCGGATATTGACTGCTCCTCCATAGCTGGTGGAAAAGGTTAAAGGAAGTTTTTGATTTTTATTTACTATTTTTATTTTTAACACCTCCTCGTTTTTAAAACAATAACCTGACAAAGATTACGGCAAAAGACAAACGTTGTGGCTCTACTCTGCTTATCTATGTAAAACAGAACCTGGATTTTTTTTTTAAAGCTGAACTCCCAGGGAAAAAAAAAAGTTAGCCCTAATAATGAGTATACTTGGTGCAGATGACTGCTGGTTACTATAAAAATCATCCCTTGATGGAAGCGGATACTACACAGAGCGCTGTATTTACAGCACTGCAGGGAAAAGAGCAGTGGCTGCAACAGTGACGGGCTCCAAGTGGTATACTCACCCTCCCATGTCCCCTACTCAAAAACACAGCAAAAAGAATACAAGGCATTTTGTGAATGGATGAGGAAAGGAGGAGAAGGCGGGTCCCGTGGGACTGCCCAGTGACTCGACCCTCGCCTATGTAGTCTCGATGGAAGCTGGGGTGTTAGGCCTTGTTCACACCAAGTGCGTTCCAGGAGCAGAGCAGTTACAGACCAGATAAAAACTGCGCCCAATGTATTCCAATGGTATTTTGGGCTCTAGTTCACACCACAGCGTTCAGTTCCAGAGCATGTAAAAAAACTGCAACAAGCCCTATTTTACCCGCTCTGGAATGCATGCAAATGCATAAAAAATGCATGTGAACGCCCTGGAAGCCCATTTTAAACTTTAAAAAAACAATATTTTTTAAAAAATTTTACCAAAAACAGCCCGGAAAGCATCAAAAAGGCGGCACAACCCACTGCACTGTGTGTGCAGAAACTCATGCAGATCTGGTCTGCATTTGGTGTGAACAAGTCCTTAATTAACTTTTTTTTTTTTTTACATTTTCTCTTTCAATGTTATCTTTTATGCCTTAAAGGATAATTAAACCCTCTGGGTTTTTTTGCATGTATCTAATGCTAGCAAGCAGCAGATACACGCTAAAACATTAAAAAAAAGTTACCAAAAAGGTTAAAACTTACTTGTGTCTCCTCCGCGGTCTCTCCCGTCCGAAGATTCTTGGGCGGCCGTAAAGGATTATGGGGCGGGCGCATGCGCTGTAGAGATCTTCGCAGAAGACACAGCAGTCAGCGCTGGATCAGAGACTGGCACCAGTGCTGCAGGGACTCATTAAAAATACTGGAAAGAAGAAGATGATCGGATCAAGAGGCATCATTTAGGGTAAGTCCTTACACCAGCATAGTGGGCGGAGAAAAAAAAATTAGACTTTAATGTCACTTTATTCTACAAGTTTAAACAGAGTCCCGGCGGCAAAAGTCGCCGGGAGTCTGTTTAAACAGCCCCGATGCTGGCGACGTACACTGTACGTCGTCAGTCACGAAGGGGTTAAAAGTGACACCAAACTCAGGAGTTAAACTGCAAAAATACATTCAAGTACCTCAACTATTAACAAAAATGTATCTTATTTGTGTATCACTCGGCTGTAGATCCTCCAATCATCTCTGAATTGGTGCTGACACTGTCCTTCCTTCTGTAGGGGGGCTACTTTTGTTTCCCATGGTCCCTGTGTGTGTTGTCCATCCCGCTCCCGGGATGGACTACAATCTCACATTTAGTTTACTAATTTGTATTAAGATCGTAGTCCATCACGATCTTGGAGCGGTGACTACTTTACAACACACATTGGGACCATGGAGAACAAACGTTTGTCAGCTATTTAAAAAGAATAAACCAAAGATGACGAAATTTCACTGCTGACTACCAAGCAATGGAAGAATGAATGTAACAAATAAAAAAACATTTCTACACAGTGTCAAACTTCACATCTGACAGCTCAACTTTCAATGCATAAAATGAATATCACTTTATAGCAGACGGCAGCTTTGTCCAGGTTAGGCTGCCCATTTTAACCCCTGAGCTGCTGGAAAAGCAAAAACAAAAAACTTCTACATCTGAGCTTTCAAATAAAATAGAAAAAAAAAAACACAACGTTTTTACCGGATAAACCCCCCTATGAGTTTTATAAACAGAAGCTGTGTGCACCTAGTGGTGCCATTTGCCAGAAGTGCTTCCAGCAGCCCCTCCCATCTATTATATATAAAGATTCCTAAGGAGGCAGCAAGCTTAGTGCAACTCCTCCTTTCTTAGTGCTGGGGAAGAAACTACATGAACAGCTGTGAAGACATCAGGAGAATTAAATTCACAGTCACAGCCATTCAGAGCCATCAGGCCTTCTTAGGAGCGATAATACGGAGGAAGAGCAATTACTGGGGAAGGGAATTGAGGACACAGTTTGGAGCGGGGGGGGCAGCGGGGCGACTGCTGAAGGTTTTGAGCCATTTTACGAAGCGTCAGGTAACGAGGGACAGAGTCTGCTGCAACACAAAGCATGGCTTTCACCATGATCCGATCTATGCCCGCTCATGTCATGTACCAGGACCTTTCTATGATGTCTGAGGATGAGGAGAACAGAAGCGAGAGTGACAATTCTGATCAGTCATTTGGATGCTATGAAACTTCAGGAAAGAGGATGAAGGTGTCACGGAAGACCGGGCAGGTGGTGGTGGTGAAGCAGAGGCAAGCGGCCAATGCCAGGGAAAGGGATCGGACACAAAGTGTTAACACAGCCTTCACTGCCCTTCGCACACTGATACCCACAGAGCCAGTGGACAGGAAGCTTTCCAAGATAGAGACTCTACGCTTGGCATCTAGCTACATCTCCCACCTGGCTAATGTGCTACTGTTAGGGGAGGGCTGTGAAGATGGGCAGCCGTGTTTCAGCACAGTGTACAGACCCCGGGAAGAGTCAGAAGGAAAACTGCCACGCAGCATCTGCACTTTCTGCCTTAGCAACCAAAGGAAGGGGGTAAGTGTACATAAAAGGTGCAAATCAAATGACAAAATGCTGTCCATCTATATAGATAGATAGATCTATATAGATATATATCTATATAGATATATATCTATATAGATAGATCTATCTATATAGATCTATATATATGCAGTCAGCTCTTTGTTCTCAGCAGGAATGGGTCAATTAATACCAAATTCAGCAGCTAGTTATTTAAGTTAGAGCAGGCCTAGCAAGGGATGATGTGCTTTCATTATCAACATCGTATAAAATTAGGCATTCATTTCTAACTAGTCCACCTGGATCTGGGGACTAGTCTAGTACAAATTGTGGGACTTGATAGCACAGATCCTGGGACAAATATAGTACGGATCCTGAGACTTCCTAGCATGGATACTGGGGAGATAGTAGTACAGATCCTGGGACTTCCTAGCACGGATCTTGGGAAGAATATAGTACAGATCCTGAGACTTGGTAGCACAGATCCTGGGACTAATATAGTACAGATCCTGAGACTTCCTAGCATAGATTCTGGGTCTAATATAGTACAGATCCTGGGACTTCCTTGCACTGATCTTGGGAAGACTATAGTACAGATCGTGAGACTTGCTAGAACAGATACTGGGACTAATATAGCACAGATCCTGGGACTAACATAGTACAGATCCTGAAACTTGCTAGCACAGATGCTGGGACTAATATAGTACAGATCCTGGGACTTCCTAGCATAGATCCTGGGACTAATATAGAACAGACCCTGAGACCTGTATATAGCACTGATTCTGAGATGCCACCTTATATCAATGAAAAGACAATACCTCTTAAAATAGTAAGGAATAATCCAACATTTAGCATTTATGATCTGTAAAAAATATTATTACTATAGTTATTCTTACTGTTATTGTTTGTAATGTATGACCCATGTGGGGAGTAACAGGCCAAATGTAAAAAAAAAAACAATACAAATCTCAGAAAACCTGTAAATGCAAAGCCTCTGAATGTTGTTACACTTGCCAAGCATAACACCATTCAGTATCGTAAAGGTCCAGTTTTTAAAATAAAACAAATGTATCATTATGCAACTTATGAATATGAAAGTGTAAGCAGGTGTGATAGAAATAAAGTTAGTTGATGCAAAAACAAAGAATAGCAATATCTTATGCATATTAGCACTCAGGCCAAAATCCTATACTACCTATTGTTAGTACAAAATCCTATACTACCTATTGTTAGTACAAAATCCTATACTACCTATTGTTATTACAAAATCCTATACTACCTATTATTATTACAAAATCCTATACTACTTATTGTTATTACAAACTCCTATACTACCTATTGCTATTACAAAATCCTATACTACCTATTGGTATTACAAACTCCTATACTACCTATTGGTATTACAAAATCCTATACTACCTATTGTTATTACAAAATCCTATACTACTTATTGTTATTACAAACTCCTATACTACCTATTGCTATTACAAAATCCTATACTACCTATTGCTATTACAAAATCCTATACTACCTATTGGTATTACAAACTCCTATACTACCTATTGTTATTACAAAATCCTATACTACCTATTGGTATTACAAACTCCTATACTACCTATTGTTATTACAAAATCCTATACTACCTATTGCTATTACAAAATTCTATACTACCTATTGCTATTACAAAATCCTATACTACCTATTGGTATTACAAACTCCTATTCTACCTATTGTTAGTACAAAATCCTATACTACCTATTTTCAAGCATTGGCACCAAGAACTGGACTATATTTATTCTGTTTTATTAAAAACAGCACATTTATTACTGTAGTAAACAGTTGTTACTGTCCAGAATTGTAGAACTTATATAACAGAATTTAGCAACTGCACGTGCTGATAAAATGTGTCAACCTCCCCCAGTGTGGTGTCCTTGTATTGTAGCGAACGATAATAAGAAGAAACGTTTCGAAATATAATCTATTCTGCAAAGTCTGGTTCTGCACATTAACAAAAGGCAGCACTCTGGGGTAATCTTGACATTTTGGCTGGAGGGTTAAGCAAAGCGCTTTGCAGGGGCCTCAGACACATGAGCTGCGGCGATACCTTTTCTCCACCGCGGTAAATTAAATCCAATGCCATTGTTGTAATTTCCAGGCTGAGTTTGTGAGCACCGCCACCTATATCTGCCTGAGGTTTTCCCATGAAAAAAAACGGGTGCAGCTACTTTTGTCAGTGGAGATTCTCCTCTCTGCAAAAATAACTCCCTCTCCATATAGATATCAATTCACTTCCCTTCATTGCAATCTTCTATAGTCATACTTCCCTATCCCACCGGCAGCCATGACACAGGGGTTATACAGCACAACTGTCCACAACAAAGGACGAGGCTTGCGGGTGTGTGTTTGTGTTGCGTTAACATATTTATCAGGCCTGCGCTCATTAGATGACCTGTGGACAAAGTGTGGCACTTGTTAGATATATGTCGATTAGGTTTTCTGAGCAGCGTCAGCACAACAATGAAAGTGCCATTTTAATGGAAACGATTTCTTGACTGTGTCAGTAGGCTGTTAAAAGCACAATTGTGGCTTTTGTAAGTGTGTCTTGACAATGCACAGGAGTAAATGATAGCATTGTGCTATTTGCCAACATATTTTGTTTTAGATAAGAGATATTAAATACATCTGAGCAAGTACATACTGTACACCACACAGGGTTTTGGGTTAACTTGTGCAGCTTTAAAAAACATACTCTGCAGACTGTCACTATCACGTGCTAATTGCCTAATACCATCACCCTTTACTTATACTGCAAATTACATCATGAAAAATGATGCAGAGTTACTGGGTTCATCCTAGGAGTCTAGTTTACTTAAATACAGCTCTGGTACATGAGAGAGATACATTACTGTCTACAATAAAATATATTGAAATATTGCCCTATAACTAACCTATTATTTTACCACTACTGCCGCTTGTTCTTACTTTTCATGTTTTTAATACACAAAACCAGTGAAGTGTAAGATTTAGAAGCTAATTTCCAGATTTAGAAGTGAGGAATTACAGTCAACGCTTGCTGATAATAAGGGTTATTTACAAAGCTCCAACATACCTATGGGCTACAGCTCTCCCTCATTATTGGTTTCTATTTGTTTCTCATCATTAAAAGCTACTAGTCAAATGCACTTAATAAACAAAGGGCTCTGTTTGTGAACAAACTCTGAGGCCGGCCATGCAGCCCAATGACTTACCATGTACTAGAGGTGGTGGAGCAACACCATAATACGCTTTGTTTTGGCAGTGCACATGTGCTGAATTGTCCTGTCAGTGCTGAAATGTGCTGTCAGGCCTCTTCCTCCATAGAAAAGGGGGAGCTACTTGCTTTTAGTGCCTTTTCACACCACATCCAGATCATCTCCAGGCCAGACTGTTTACGGACCCAAAATGCATCCTAATGTATCCCTATGCTATTTCTGGCCTCTGTTCTCACCAGCGCAGTCCGTTCCAGACCAGAGCAGAACAATACTGCAGGTCTCATTTTGTCTGGTCTGGAATGCACTGGAACTGCCTGCAGGTTCACACCATTTTCCGGACCAGATCTGGACCGGAAAATGGTGTGAACCTGCTCTTAGGACACAAAGCTTTTAAAAGTACGTTGTGTGATAATATGGAGTGTCCAACAACAGAGGAGCTAGTTAGCACATTTCTACACGGCCCAAAGTTGCCAGGCTTGCGTAGATCAGCAACACTGTTTTAGTAAAAACACGAATTATAGTATCCTAAAAGTGACAAGCTAGCTAAACACGTTGCAAATTTTGGAGGCTTCCTGCTGGATCAGCCAAAATTCGAGTCGTAGAAAGGTACCACCCAGCTTGACAAAAGTTGATTTTAAAATCGAGAGTCGGTGGAAACTTGTTGGCCAAACAGTGACTGCATCCAGTCAGATACAGTCACCCTTTGGGTATTCAGGCAGCCACAGGTGCCAGCAGCTGCCTGAATCCAACAGCCGACAGTGCAGGTTCCTCAATCTACACTGCACAGAAGTCGTGGATTGAGGAACCTGCACATAAGGCTAGCTGATGGCTAGCCTCATGTACTAATAAATATTTGCCTACAGCAAGCTAGAAAATAAAGAAGGGTTCTGAATGACTGCTATGATCATGGGACAAGGTCTGCAGCTAAATGTTGCCTGAACCTATTCATTTTCGTTTCTTGCAAATCCTCAAAAATACAATTGCATCCAGTCTTGCATAATACAAGACAACATAAAATATGTAGAAGCCCATAGCAAGCAAAATAAGCAAAGATGACTGGGGTCAGGTCGCTCTACAAACTAGGCCTATAGTAAAACTAACAGAGTTCATGTTACTCTCTGCTGCTCTGTAATACTCAAGAAGTATTATTTCCTTTTCAATGAACATTACATGTGAATAAAATAATTTTAGAGCATGACTGCAGCTTTTATCTGAGCTCTGGGAAGGGAATAGGAATAAACATCTGCAACTGAGTTCTATACTAGTTTTCTAAGACAGTTTATTCTCGTTACAGGCCTCTAGGAGGGATCACAGTGGCTGTCTGAAAGTTCGAGGACTGAACACTGTACGTATTCCACAAAGATGATCGTCGCTTTTCGCCTGAAGAGGAAACGAAAAGATCAGAAGGCCAGAGAATTCTGATTTTCTACCAAAGACAGTAAAAAAAAAAAAAAGATCAGAAGGACCAACAGGTGGTGAAGAGCCGTTGCTATGCCAGAGCAGAGCTGGTCACATTATCTCTGAATGTCGCTATATGTGGGAGAACCTGAGCAAGTGGGGTACAGCTGTCTCCAAATAGGGGGGAAGGGGAAATGAAGATCTGGAACTTTTATACCTTTCGGGACAAAGATTTTTGGGTCCCCAACCCCTGGAAGACTATGTGAAGAAAATATTTGTACATAACGTTCACCAAATTTATAGATTTTTTTTATTAAAATAACATAATTAAAATGAGCTTTTATGCTTTTTATTTTTTTAAATGTTTACAATTGTGTCTTACTTTACTGCGTTACTGAATCATTTAACATTCATGATCAAGTGCAGACCGGCAACTGCAATTGAAGAGATTGTGCTGCTTACCCTGTTTCCCCGAAAATAAGACCTACCCCGAAAGTAAGACCTAGCACTATTTTTCAAGATTCCTGTAATGTAAGACCTACCCCGAAAATAAGACCTATTTTGGTGGTAGCATGTGAGGGGGAACTTGAAGAGGAGGAGAGATGGTATCAGCCTGCAGGGACATACTATATTAAGGGGATGACAGGGGACTCCCTCCGGCCAGCGCAGTGACAGGAAGCACTCCAGTACCATACTTCACCAACTACTGTCCCCCTGAAGGCACTGCTTAATGTAATGGTACTGTACTGTAATGTGTATCGGTAAATGGTACCGTACTTTACCACGCTGTCCACTGTCTGATGTCCCCACTGCTGCAGCGCTGGTACCACTGTCCCTGATGACAAAGGAAGCCGGCGCTGTAGAAAGCACGGCTGCGGAGGGAGCAGAGCCGCATTAGCCGATACTTCCTCTATAGCGCCGGTTACTGTGACAGGCGGAGTGACACCAGATAACTTTAGATTGTTGTACATTTTGTTGCACATTAAAAATAAAAAGACATCCCCTGAAAATAAGACCTAGTGTGTTTATTTGGGTCAAAAAAAATATAAGACAGTGTCTTATTTTCGGGGAAACACAATACAAAACTCAATGCAAAACTAATAAGCTGGTTATATCTATGGGACGATACACAGGTTTGATTTGTCTTCATTGACCAATAAGCAGGTGCAGACAGCCTTTTATATCAGTGGAAAGCAGAAATCACCAGCACTCAGTAAATATCTTTGATGTCTATTTAATCAGACCAATCGTCAATTGTCATGTACAAAATAGAGACGTTTCGGGACCGCACAGGATGCCTTCATCAGGGCGACAATGTACCCTTACATTGTCGCCCTGATGAATCCGTGATTGTCACTGCGAGCACCACTACAAGTACTTGGGCCTGGAGCGCTGTGAGGAGTGCAGAGGGACTTACTATTTTCTAAGCCTTTTATATCACACATACTGTATATGATTATTTTTAAGGTCGTTTCCTTTCTACTTGCCTATCTGCTGTCTATGACTTGACACATGTGCCCCAAATCCTATGTTAAAGTGTATGCCCAGCTAAAATATTTTTGGGAGAGAGTGGAGAGCATCAGAACCCCTATTCCATTACTCCGTTAGAAAGATTTACCCTCACTTCCTGTCCTGCTGATGATTTACCAGACTGGAAGTGGTGAGAAATCTCCAGCAGCAACACAGACATAGATGAAAATGCTTTTTTTAGTAGAGTAGGAGAAAGCCAGAACCCCTGCAGGGATTGTATTTCTATTTGTATCCCTGTTGCAGAGTTTGCTTAATTTCCTTGTCAACAGAACAGAATGTAAGGATAAAGCTCGCTAACGGAGCCCCGAATAGCAGAATAAATCCTGACAGGGGTTCTAATCCTTCCGTGCTTTATATAAAACTAGAACAAAAAATTGTTTTGTATATAGTGTATGCTTGACATACACTATAAAGAGATAAACACTCTGAAGAGGAACCAAACTCTGAAAGCTGTACCTAAAAAAAAAGCAGGCAGAGGGCCAAGAACTGGCAAGCAATATCTATTGTCTTTCCCCATTACTGTGTCTCTGTTTGGGTGCAGCCATCTTGGTAGAGGCAGGGCTTTGCTTCCTCATGTTAGAGCCTCCAACAAGAACAACAATGATCAGCACAGTAATGACATCTTCAAATCTCCTAAAACTAGCAGTGAGAGGAAGCATTGTCTTATAAGTCACACTGCAGACATATAGCACCGAGGCTTGAGGCACAGGGGAGTCTAAACCACGCTCATATACCAAAAAGTGCATTGCTATTTTTCAGGAGGAATTCCAGACAAAATGAACATTTTCAGGGTTCAGCTTAGCCACAATAAATATTTTTAAGTTCTTATCACATAACAAATTGTAACTTTTTGAGTTCAGTCTCACTTCAATGATATATCTACCCTCCAGTCATTAATGTCATACATTCTTGCAGAATCCTGGTAAATGTCTTGAGAAAAATCTCTATTAGGTTGTTGGCACACAATTCTGCCCTTCAGCAACTTCCAGTTTAGGTACCGAATGATACCGTTGACATTCAGTGGAACTAGAAACAAGCCAAACAGCAAGCCATAAGCAGTGTACTCACCTTTTCCTTTATCCATGTGCCATCTAATGTTTAACTTGTATTGGTCATCTTAAAGACCCATGACCTCATGTTATAAATATGACTTGCAGGGAGTTTGGAAAAGAAGAGCAAATTACACTACAGCTCAACTGGAAGGGTGGTAAAGGTGAAAGATCTGTGTTCATAAACCCTAATCTCTCCCATCCTCTGGAATTCTTTACCCCAACCTGTCCGTCTATCGCCCACCTTGACTGCCTTTAGGCATTCCCTAAAGACTCATCTCTTCAGGGAAACCTATCCCACCTCAACCTAACCACTCAACCATCATGTTCTCAAACAATTCATCCCCACACAGCTCCCTCCTCATGTATCACTGGCCCCTCCCTTTTAGATTGTAAGCCCTCACGGGCAGGGCCCTCTTTACCATCTTGTCCTGAATTGTATTGTGATTGTAATGACTTCCCTATATTGTAAAGCGCTGCGAAAAGTGATCTGATTAAACACAGAGTTAGTCCATTCCCTCAGCCACATTAAACAGCATGGATGGAGGAATTTCCTCTGCTGGCAACTGTATTCAGCAGCCGTCGCAGCTGCTACGTGAATACTCGAACAATGACGGCATCTTATAGGATGCCGTCACTGTTCGGCCGATAATATTCAACCGATTTTTCAATGCTTTGGTAATGCTTGTAGAGCCACCTATGGCTATATTTCCACCAATTCAGCAAGAATCAGCCGAAATTAGAGCCGTCTATTATATTGGGGAAGCTCACATTACTAGACAACTGGGCAACCAGCTTTGGGATATGCCACTGGAGTGCGTCCATTTGAGGTTTCTCAAACACACATTTACTTGATGAAAGATGAACATTAAATCTACACAGTTAAGCATAGACCACAGGTTTACTACATCACCACCTATTCATCTACAGCTAGAATAACCAACATGTAGCCCTTCAATTGTAAAAATGGAACTATGGACAAAATAAAAAATGACATATGTAATGCAGTCTGTCGAAAGCATTAACAGAACAGGTCTAGTTCTTAGCCCGTAACATAGAGTAGTTTTATTCACTGGTTACCCAGCCAGTTAGTCTGTCATTTCTCCACTTCCTGTAACAAGGTGACAATGCTGTTCTCCCTGCAGAGAATCATTTAGCAGTGTTGGTGTCCTGTGGACAAGGTAGTCTTAGATGAACCGGGTAGACTTTATGTAAGGGTCTAAAATGCATTTCAAACAAAGGTCAGCAAATTGCCATTGTCGTTATTAGAGAAATACACATAACAGTTCAGAGCCTGGGTCAGACCTGCTTTATGTTGCACTGTGATTCTTTGAATGCGGCATGTCCTATTGAAGTGTGTTGAAAAAGCAAGCAAAGTAGGTCAGTCCTTTCTTGTCAAATGGCTTAATAAGAATGTACGTTGACAAGTGTGCTTTTATAGTTGGACCTTATTGTAAATGCCACTCTTGCTGGTAAGCTTGGCCTGATATTGGAAGTGGAATAATAATGGATCTACTGATAGTATCAACAGGTAATACAATTATATTACAGGTGGAGATGCAGGACTGCTATGTTAATGATAGTAACAGACTGTATCATAAATGTAATTTGTGACATATTGGCTATAGTTATACTTTAAGGAACCTAAGAATAAGCTCAGCAGCTCTAGAGCAGCAGGTATACAAAGCAGCATCTATATCCAGTAACTATAAAAATAAGAGTTTTTATTCTATCTATAAAATAGCAGCTAAAGAATACTAGTGCCAAAGCAGGCCACAGTCCTTCTTAGACACCGACAGCAGCACATGGGGGTACTTTACATTTCTCATACTACTGCACAGAGGGGAGAAGGATTGTGAAATGCTCATAGCAACTAGTTGGGAAATCTCTCTATGCAGTAACATTTGCCCTGTTTGCTAGGGCAGCCTTTCTCAACCAGGGTGCCTTGGCACCCTAGGATGCCTTCTGGCCTCTTCGAGGGTGCCTTGTAATATTCACATATCATCATTCCTCTAATGTGAAAAGGGGGCTTCTGATGTAAAAGAGGGGGGCTTCTGATATGAAGAGGGGCTCCTACTTTGAGGGGGGCTCCTAGAGGGGGACTCATGATGTAAAAGGGAGCTCTGATGTGAAGGAGGCTGCTAATATGAAGGGAAGACTGATGTAAAAGGGGGCATCCTTTTTTTCTATGTTTTTGCATAGGACCCCCTTAAAATCCATGCCAGACCCCATATCTCGTAGAAAGGTCTGGTATGAATTCTGGAGGGACAACATGTCATTTTTTACATTTCAGACTGGGGTGCCTTGATATTTTGCATATTTTTAAAGGGTGCCATGACTGAAAAGAGGTTGAGAAACGCTGTGCTAGAATGTCCCATTATTGCCCTCCTGTTGTATAGAAGTCTAGTATTCAGAA